CAGCAAAAGCCCCATTTTTCAACAGGAAATTACAGTGATAGTAGGCATCTTTGAAAGTGTGATCTACACAAAGGCGGATGAGGGCAGTCCGTAGCCTGACACCCACTCACAAAGTACATCACTCATCTCCAAACATTCCTAAACAGAGGCTCTTCAAAAACGCTCCTTGTGATTGTATTTGAGCTGTATTGTTGAGCTCAAACACCATTTTGTTTTGCACATATTAGGAAAAAGTTCTTCACTAAGAAGGTGGCTGAGAACTGGAACAAGGTCCCCAGGGAAGAAGTCATGGCCCCAAGGCTGTCTGTGTTCCAGAAAGGTTTGGACAACATTCCTGAATACATGGTTTAACTCTTAGGTTGCCTTGTGTGGAGACAGGAGTTGGACCCCATGATCCTCGTGGGCCCCTTCCAACTCAGGATATTCTACAAGCCTATGATTGTAGTTCTTCCTGTGAACTTGCTCCTCCACTTAAATTCTGGGTATATGCTTTATTGCCAATCCTCAATAAAGATCAGAAAAAAGAACATTTTCAACCCAGAGTAGCAACTTATTTTCATGGAGTTTTTTCAACCAAAACAAAACACAAATAAACAAAAAACCCCAAACCAAAACACAGAGCATTTCCTATTGAAATAATCACTATTCCATTCAAGAGATGAAATAGGACATAGCATAACATCTGACACTAGGAAGATCACAAAAGAGAAGCTTTCTCAACTGAAACTTTAAGGGGTGTGAGTTCACTATAAGAACGGAAGACGTGAGATGGAATTCGGCCAGAACAGCCCTCCACTTATGAAGAAAGCAATGCACTTTTAGCAAACTTCAGTTTATTTTACCTATAGGCCATTCAATGGACTCAGATGACAAAGCTGAGTAGACAACAGAAAAGAAACAGGAGAAGGGAACATAACAACGTATCACAGAAAGGCTCAGCAACATAGTCCTTTATGCACTTCCCAAAGAGGAGGCAAGCACTCATAAGCATTTGATATGATTATGGGTGAGAACATTTATGGCCACCTTATATTATGCTTGATGTTTTAAACTTGCATCATAGGGTGTAGCATACTGAATTCTTATGAAAAACAACTCCTTTACCCTGATGGCAAATGCAGTATTTAAAACCTATACATGTTGCATGCTCCGATTTGCAATAATGAATGTTAGAACAACAATTTTCAGTGCTCACTTTGACCCTGAACCTGGACACACATTTTTTTCAAGACCAATGCAGGATTTGGACTGCACTGCCTGAAAACGAAGTCCATTCACATAATGTTTCAAAGGCCAGTATTACTCACTGAGGAGTTCTAGTTCAGCCCCTCTGCTTTCACTTCAGCTTTACATACCAAATCTGTGTAGGCTCCAAGGCTGCTAGAAACCAAGGTAAGACATTCATGCAGAACTTTAGATCGGATTTTAATTCTTACAAATTCAGCAACATACTGGAAATACTTTCGAATCTCTGAAATACCTACGGCTACCCTAAAGGTGATCTACCTTTTCTCCATACCTAATGCCTTCTTGTACAACCCTTCAGGTAACGTCTGTTATGTATTCATCATACAGAAATAACTGCATCTAACTCTAGCATTTTAATTGGATACCTGCTGGTATAAAAAGCTAGCCACTTTTGGGGTGATGAAGCAATCCACCAAAATCCACAGAGATTAGCCCAGTGACAGAAAAGACAACTATTTATGTTCCTATACCTTCATGCTCGTTGTTCCTCAAGGGCTGTATTTCTCTGTATACTTGACCCTTGGCTTGCATCCCAATAAATCTGAACAATCCAAGTCAGAAGAAAACAGTGCACTAAATCTCAAACCATCACATTTCCCTTTTTTGAGTTGTTTGACCTTGCCCTTTACATTTTCCTATATCTTACATCATACTTCATTACAAGGAATGCAAATAGCCATTCTCTCCCCTCTTCTATTCACTAGAAATACAAAACGCATGCGATAACCTTTCATTAGAAAAGCACCAGTGTAGTTTGTCAAACAGCAAGTAAGGAAGCAGGGGAAGCAGCGGATAAGATAAAAAGTAGTAAGGGTTGAAAGTGTAAGAGATGAGATAAATTACAGAGAACATGACGTAGCAAAATAGAATGAGATCAAGAGAATTAAAATGAAGTCTAAATGTCTGGAAAGTGGCCTAACAGTGAGATTCATTCAATTATTAAACAGCTTCAGTAATGGAGTAGGAGATAATATGTTTAAACAGATAAATGTCACTAAAAATACCTTGCAGAAAGTAATCCTTCACTATGAGCAGAAGGCCTTTATCTTCTCTGAGACTGTGCATTAACTACACAGACTCTGATGTTGACTTTAGACATAAGTGTGAATTTCTGACACAAAAGTCTCAGATCATCCTGCTTCAGCAGCGTTAACTGCTGACAAGCTGGATACTAGGCCTTCTTTCCTTATCCCCGAGAAACAGCCCATACACTGCTTTGAACAAATAACACAAAGCAAGAGGAGTGTTCGCTTCAACCACCTGCTAATATTCAATTTCTGCAGCTAGCCTCTCTAGGGCTGCCTGTGGCCAGTAGCAGGACAGTCCCTGTCAAGCAGGCTTCAAGCAGCTTTACTCCAGAGCTCTGAATTGCATTCTGAGCATCTCTCTCTGGCTGCTTGGCCAACCAGCTGGCTAAAGTTCAGTGCTGCAAGCTCTTTCCTCTGCCTATCAAATCTTTGTTGATATAGATGGTCACAGTTCCATCAGTTTAAGACTGCATCCATTTACACAGGAGAAAAGGGTACTTGAACTTCATGTGCAGACCATAATCCTTAACTATCTTGAAAAGATCAAGATCTGATGAAACACATAGCTGAATCACCACATGGTGAAACTTAGTTTGAATAAAAATCTACATCCATAATTCTGACATATTTGGGTCTTCTAAGAAACACTTTACCCTTTGTTAAGTGTCAAGCCTTGCTTTCAGTGTCTCTTTTGCTACATGAACATTTATTTCAATGCATGTCACAACTGCAGGGCTGGCTGCATTCATATATAGCCACAAGAGCCCTTGTGTTTTCACCTCCACTGAACTCTGCCTTTCTTAGTTTTCTGCAACAGAATGATGTGATTCTGTTCCTCTTACACTCAGGCCCTGTACCCTACAAAAATTGTTACTCTTTAGCATGCCATCTTAGGAGCAGAGATCAGTTGAGGCAACAACTACCCAGCTTTTAAGAAGTATGCTTTAGTTTAATCTTAGGAATACCAATTGAAATTCCAAACTGCAACACTCTGCATTCTATACCAAAAAGTATGCAGAATTAATTTTAAAATTTTCTTGAATGATGTGATGAGTAAACTAAAAGTTATTCTAATAGCCACTTGGGAGTTTAATTCATAGAGATTTAGCCATTGGACTCAGATTCTTCTAATTTATTTTGTTTGTTCTTAACTCTACTAATAGTTTGATTCATAGAGATTTAGCCATTGGACTCAGATTCTTCTGATTTATTTTGTTTGTTCTAACTCTACTAACACATTTAGACAGAAATTTCCAAACTGCCCATACAAATGTAACCTTTAAAATTGTTTTGCTTTTCCTTGTCAGGAATTTGTGGTATTGTGCTTCCTCTCACATCCACGCATTGCTGCACATACTACTGTCTTTTGAGTTTTCTTTCTTTTGCAGAGGAAGACAATTCTTTTTAAAATACACTTTATCTTTTTGTACCAACACAGAAAATGCTTTAACCCTGACACACACACCGTCATCATCCATGAGCAATACCTTAAGATGAGGCAGCAGTTTAGTCACAAGGACAAGTTTTGGTTTAAATGTCTCATCTCTGCATGTTCTCTCCCTAATCAATGGAAAAAGATATGCTGCTTTAAAAAGGGAGCAGGCAGCACCTAGCCTAGGTAAGTGGAACTGGCTCAATATATTACAAGGAACCTAATCTCTGTTTTCTCTCTTTAAAGAAGTCTACTTCTTTCCACTGGCTACAGAAGAAGCCTAGGGGGATAGTCTCATTAGGAAATTAATCTAATCTAAATCTCATTATGCTACTCAGTATTATTCCAGATCAAAATTTTACAAAGATCAATATAAATCTGACATTTGCTACAAGGAACTCACTTTTTGCTGATATCATGCATCTTTCAAGACTGATGACTGAACTAAACTCCGTATGTGTCTTAGATTTTGGATGCCAGACAGTGGGTGTATTGCAGACCAGACTGGGGTGAAGATGCTAACAGTGCACTCCATCACAGCAGTGACTCAACAGAAACTTTCTCACTCAAGTGTGTTCTTGCACTTGGAAATAACTGTTCTCACTCTGGCTGTGAGGTCCACTAGCATGGACAACATGTTGTCTTCACCACAAGCACCAAGGAACTGGGCTCAATGAAAGAAACCAGTAAAACTAGCGAGTCCAAGTAAGAACTCTCAAGAGACCAGTGGAAACACATGACCTCCAGAGCAGTTTCTGAATATACTAGAAGGATAAAGAGCCCAGAATCATCGGCATCTTAAGGACAGACACCAGATCACAAAGCCAAATTTGCAGACAGTGTGCAGTATCCATCTCTAGAAATTACACAGCACCTCAATGCCGTGTAACACCCATTTTTGACCCATTTTCCCCCAGGGCATCCCTTCTCGAAGTCTTCTGCATAGAAGCATCCATATTACCTGATTGCAAAGGAAGAAAGCTGTATGAGCACAAGTCTCCACGCACTTATACAGCCTGAAGGCCTTTCATTGTTACACTCCTGCTCCACTGTCCACGCAGCAATAGAAAACTGATCAACTGCTCATCAAAATAGCAAGAGGAGACAGGGGAGCAACTCGACTCCCATTCAGCTCAAACAATAGCTTTAGCAATAAAATTTATCACAAAGCCCCAGTCATTGCCTCCTGTTTTGATCACCCTGACAAATTAGCATTCCAAGCTACATTTCTGGCCATCTGCTCCATTACACTCTCCGTCAACATATGGGGAAAAGTGAAAACCTCAACTTACTGAAAGCAGTTTGGTCCAAATACAGTGGCAAGATTGCAAAGGTTCATCTTGTTCTCTACATGATGTTCAGCAACCTTTATCAGGAACTGGCACAGATACTTCAGCAGGCAGTAATGAACATCAGGCAGTTCTTTAAGGAGTTCTTTCAAGTTATGTTCCTTCTGCACGTCATCTCTAGTGTCTAGGAAAAACAAGAGAAGAAAAAACACATGTATATGGTTTTCTGCATTATTGCCAACTTACCTAACATATGTGAGCAAGCAGTGGGATCTAAAATTTAGTCTTGTTTCTGTTCAGAGACACAGAATCCTCCAAATCCCTCCATTTTCCTCAGCCAACCTGCACCTTTCTCCTGTGGCTACCTCGGCCACCACTGGCACTGTTTCACGCTCACCTTTACATTGTAACTGTTTTCCTGAGCAGAATTAGCAGTGAAGCATGTTTATTCCCACACAGTACATGGCTGTATCTGCTTTACCTCCAGCTCTACCAGAGCTCCTGCTTCCACGCTTCTTTTAGATGTTACCTCTGCTTCACAAACCCCATCTCGTACTCAGTTTCAGTTTCCCTCTCCCATGTTTACCCTCAAAAAGAAGAAAGCAAGAAGGGTAAAACAAGGAGGCTCCTGAAATGCAGGTGGTGTTAGCATAACAGTACTCCCTGCGGACACATTTTATGAAAAGCTCAATTTTGTATCTTTTGTCAGAGTGACAACTCTGTACTAAGCCTTAGGCAAGGGGTCCTGCTTATGGAAAAAAGGCTGTTTGAGGCAGTGTTAAACTCCATAGCGAGCCAAAACTTGGCCTTACGTTAAAGAATAGCCTTGTTATACTGTACAATCTTCTAGAATTTAAGTATGGATAAACGTTTCCCATACTGAACTGAGTAACATCGAAGTATGACTAAGGCCAACTGTCTTTCATGCAGGTTTTTGTTGTTTTAGGTTTTTGTTGGGTTTTTTTAATTATTATTTTTATTTCAAAAGCAAACATTGCACGAACTTCACAGATGCTGTGTTTACACAGACTACAAGTTTGGACTCACACAGAGCTTTTACTTAATTGTGTTCTGTTTCTGGAATTGAACTCAAAACCTGCATAATTCTCCTCTCCCCTCTTCCACTCCAAAAACGCTTCCCCAAAAGTAATTTGTATCCACCAAAATCTTGGGTTTACACATTAAAAAAAGCAAAATTTTAAAAACAATTCAGTATTTCCTTCCCTTCACGCCAAAACAGGATGCCTTAACACTTGGAAAGAATTTATTTCTACTCTCATCAAAATGAAATTTCACTGAAACTCTTACATATGCAGAGTTCTTGGGGTTCTGTGCAACAGCATTTTCAGACAGAAGACCTCAGGCCCTAAAGGTTTTCCTCACTGATCTAATTATAAGCAGTGTTCATTAACATGAGGGCAGCTATGCATTTCTAGTACTTTTTTTCTTTATCTATCAGCCTTACATGTTGATGGTGTTAATGCTGCAAGACTGTTCTTGGGTAACTGAGAGATGTACTTTAAGGTTTAAAAATGGTTCTAGTGGTTGGAACGATGTCTTTATTCCACAAAGTCAAAGTGAGCTGACACTAAACACTAACCCTCTGCATTCTCTGTAACAGATTGCCTTGTCGCAAAGTAGCTGCTGGCTTACCAAGAGAATACAAACACCCTCCCTATGCTTAGGGTAACAAGGTTTTTATTCCATTCAGAGGATGTTATGATCCTTATCAAAGCGATTAACCCAGAATTCAATCAAAACCAAACTTTGGTCAGTCTTCAAGACTTGTTTTTAGTCAAGAAGACATAATAAAACAGGCTGCACAGAAACAGTTGCTGCCTCTGCTGTACATCCTGCTACCAGGATGCAGAGGAGAAGATTGTCAGGAAAATGTCCCATGCCTTGTGTTGCAGGAACAAAGAACATTTTACATTTCCCCAACATTTTTGTGAGCAACAAAGGAAAAGCTTTGAACATGGTTGTAAGGCATGTGCAAATGCTTCAGAAGTTTCATCTTTGTTTTTGTTTTTCATTTCCTAGATATATTCCAGGGCTGGATTGCACAGTATTCCAGCGGTAGAGTGCTTTGAAAAGTGGTTAGGTGTGTAAATCACTTCCAGATATTCTTATACAGACTGTTGACTCCTGAGAACTCAACCATTAAGTCGCCATACTATTTCTGTTTTACACCCAGACACCTTTGTGGCTAATAAACAGGATTTATCCCGCATATACTTTAGGAAATAAATGAGTTTTGTACGTACTTCCTTGTCACCTCATACAGCTGAACTTGTGGGATTTCACCTGCTTCCAAGCTTGGGTTTCCTGCCTTACATGACATGCATAATACAGTGCCTGGTGAGAGAAGCCTTTTTAAGTTTTATATGCATAAAGAATTCATTTTTATGTATCTGTTTTGGTATCACAGACTTAATATGAATTCTTTCATGACAGCAGGCCAAAGTTTAAAATGCCAGTCAAATTACAGGGCCAAACATTTCAACCAACTGATTAATTACATCCTTTTCTTCTACAGCTAAGAAATCAGCTCCTTCAGAAAAGTCAAATATAAAATATGCATGAAGGAGATGAAAAAAAAAGATCTTATTTGCTTATTTTTTGCAAGTATTTCTTTCAAATGTCTTTTAGAGATATACAGAATAAAAACTATTATGAATCAGCTTGGTAATAAGAAATCTGATTTATTATTTTTATTTTGGCAGCAAAATTTCAGGATGCTTCTGAAGGCTGTAATAATTGGAATAACAATAAGGAATTTAATTGGATTTGTATTTGCACTGATCAAAGTGGACTGGACAGTCTCTGACTTGATTACTAATTATCTTTTCATGAAGCTTAAAGAAAAGCAAAACACCACTAATTTCCACATAGCCAGAACATTAAAATTCACATCATACTTCCCTTTAGGTAACAAAACAACTAGCACACAGTGTTTTCTACTATAAATTGCCTGCAGTTACGATAAGGAAAGGCAAAGCCACCTCTCAGAAAAAAATGCACCTCTTCCACCACAATCACCCCACCACCTAATTAGGGAATGCCCTTGAGAACTAATTGCCTTTCTGAGCCTCCCACTGGGGCTTTAGATTGACAGGTACTTTTCTGTTTACCTTCCAAACTTGAAATATGCTAATAACCACCACGAAACATTCTGAACACAGGTTTGCACTCTGGCAACAAAGCAAGCTGTTTGGCCGCGTAGCACCAGTCGTATTTGGTCAGTAGGATGTCCCTGTTCATTAACCATGATATATTATGTGGTGTGGATCAACATCAGAGATGCTTATCACTGGGCACAGCCAAACCTTTGTTCATTTCTGTATTTTCAAGAACAGAGACAGATATCAGATCACAAGATCTTGAGAAATTATCCTAATTGAAGGACACAGAGACACTGGACAGCATGAAGCAGCAAACCCCATTTACTGAGCCATGAAATTCCTTGTCCTTGCGAAATGGGAGAAAGAAAATATGGCTTTCCTCTCTCTTCCTTTTCCAGTGAAAGACCAAGGGAAGGAACTCAAGACTTTCTCACAATACAACCAAAAAATAAAACCAATTTATTCTCCTGCTGCTGACACTTAATTAATGGGTTTCAGCTTTATTTTTAAAAATCACTATTACAATTTGTGGTGAATTTAGAGAGTGACATGCATACACAGTAGTCCATGCACTTTGTACATTTTTGAGGACAAATGTACGTCTGCTATCCATAACCGTATTACTTCAAATAAAAAGCTTTTCAACTTACTGGAGAGTAAAAATAGTCTTGAGTCACAACAACCAATTGCTTGGAGTATTCCTCCTCCTTTTGTCCACCTGCTAGACAATTTTTCAATTTGCTTCAAAGTCTGTTGCTAAGGTGTACTCAGCTGGTACTGACCATCAAAGAAACAGTAGAGCATCAGAGCTGTTTATGCTATCATGCACACAAGCATCAAGTGTACCAAAGCCCTGAGCTTATGTATATGCCTAATTTTGCGAAGTACAAGCTGTCCTGAGGAAGTCAAGACTACCCAGTGCAGTCTTTCTTATTCAGTCAGATTACAGAAGGTGGCATGAAGCTAAGCATATGCTTCAATCTCTGCAGCATCCTGAGACGAGACAAATAAGCTCGCCAATGAAGAAAACAGCCAAGTGCCAGATTTTCAAAGGCAATTCAGGAACCTATATTCAAGCCATATTTTCAGATACGCCCAGCTACCAACACACTCATGATTTTCAAGCACAGCACATGAAGCTCTTTTGAAAATTTTGCCCAATACAGCAGAGAAGGAGAAAAGAGTGGAAGAAGAATGAAGGCTAAGGGGAAGGTGCTCTCAAGACAGAGTCAATGGCATTCACTTTATCTTGGGAGCCTGCCAAAAGCCATGTGAAGCAGACGGCATCCCAGCAGACATCTGCAAGAGAAGCCTAGCTAGATCAGCAGCCAGAAAGGGCTTGAAACCAGTGATGACACGGTGGTTTCTGGGCTGAGAACAAAACCAGCAGCCTCTGGCCATGTCTAGGCTCAGCAGCTGGAGGACAGAGAACACAGCGTGACACAGGCAGAGGGCCAAGGAAGACAGGAAGGGCAATGTGGCACCTACTTGTGTGTGACTTGCTACTGAGGGATAAGTCAAGGAAACAACTGAAGAGGACAGGCAGTCTCTCTAAAATGTTAATTAACTAGAAACAGGAGCCTCAACAGTGTAGGAGGCACAGACGCATTTGCAAGGGTGCTTTCAGTCTTACTTAATTTCAGTATACACCCACAGATCACAAGAGGGACATATTTTCCAGTGGTTCATCCTATTTCTGAACATATTGAGTTTCTTTGACATGCTATAGACACGATCTAATTCCCCAATCCATCCCTCTTCATGCTACTCCTTCCCCCTGCAGAGCATGCTGCCTGAACATCACTAAAAATATGGACGCCTGCAGACAGGTGTGTGTAATCGCTTTGCTCATGTCTCAAATTGTCTGACCCCAAATAACTCCGGCCTGGAAGCACTGAAACCATAGCAGCACAGTGCCCTGGCCTAGCTAATTACCTCTGCTGTGAGGCGAGGAAGAGAGTCTAAGGCTCAGTGTCATGCTACCACGTCTGCATAGCTTTCAGCTGCCTTGCATACTACCAGCTTGGAGAGCAGACAGAAGAGCTTGCATCTGTCTGTAGCTATCAACATGCTTTAGGAAGTTAATCTTCGGCACATAGGCAGCAGGTTGTACGTTGCAGTACCACTGTGCCCACTGGGCTGTTGGAGGAATCAAAGCATTTCTCTCCATCTCCGCAATCTACAGGAAGTGAGACTCCAGTCTCTCTCTGCCAAGAAGCAATTTGCTTCAGACACAAACCTACCTGCCCTAGAGGGAAAAGAAAAGGGAAGAAAAAAAAAAAATTTAAAAAAAAAAAAATAAAAAATCACACCTTGTTGCCATCAGTAGCAGAAATGCTGGAAGTCCTCATCATAAGAAGGTTGTCATCACAATCCAACTTGAGACCCCTCACTCTGCATCATTATGGCACTTTGCAGAGCTGTATTTATGCTTCATTCCGACATATTGGGAGCAGAGCACTCACTTCTTTTGCAGCTCTGCTGAGTGTCATCATCTGCATAAGAAATCCAGTTCCAAGAGTTTTTACTGTATAACAAACATCTTCTGATAACACCAAAATGACAATAAAAGCCACCGGAAAAGGTTAAAGTGATGCCACAAGAGCCTGGAGAACCACGGACATCTAGTGAATCTGATGGGCTGCACTGCTGCAGTTACTGTGGTTAGAGGGTCAGCTGTTACCTATTCATTTTCACACTCATTTATTCATTTTCACAGTCACTGTTCAGGTTGAAGTTTGACCTCTAAAATCCCCCAACACAACCTATACTTGTGATTCTGCTTATGCAACTCAAACAGCTGCTGGCTACTAAGCATTCCCTAAACTGACCTGCTGATCCAGAAGGGAGCTGCTCCTTCCCTTCCACCACCTTCCATTCCTCTCCCTAAAACTAGCAGGGCTGTTCACAGGCACCAAACAGCCAGCCATGGCAGGTTGCCAGCAAGAGGAGGTATGCGAGATAGAACTTGCATCTAGCTGCTGCCCACTGAAAAATATAAATTCCCTAGGATTGGAGCAATGTCAAGAAGCCAGAGTGATCAAATAACATTCAGCTTAATTAGACTGAGTACCAAAGGAAGACAGGAGACCACACTTCACTGTACCCCTGCTGGAGGAGAGAATGCAACAAAAACAAAAAAGAAATTCACATAAGGGAAAAACTTTCTATATGCTAAAAAGGAAAAGTACAATAGCAACGTGTCTTGCTGAAAGCAAGTGACCTGTGAAAGGGTACAAGAGCTGTGCATACAGTTCCTAGTATGTACAAATGTCTTAAGAATCAGTGATCATGATATGAAAGATAAGGAACGAAAAGCCAGAACAAACAAGCTCAAGCCAGGACTGCTATATGAGAGCTGCTGATTTCTTCCAGCTGAGGTTTCTGAAAGAAACTTTCACCACTCTATAAGCACAGCCTGTTTTGCACAGGCAGGCACAGCTCTGCTCTGTAGCGAAGCCTCAGTCACAAAAGAGATTGTGATGGACATTTTTTACCCCAGGACTCCTTGCAAGTAGCAGCCTTCATATTTGTCAGGTGCTCTGAGGAGACCGGCCAACACAAAGATCTCTATCAGTTTGTCCCTGGCCTGCACTTGCTACACGCATCTCTGATCAACATCATTTACAGAGGGAGGCCTTTCTCAGCTCCCACTGCCACTGCCCTTCTCCAAGGGCAGAGAGAGAATGTCAGGACACACTGAACGGCCTTTAAGATACGTTGATATGCTATGTGATGTCTTCTGGTACGGCATAGTCTTGGCGTTATGCTGAATATTTATATAAACAACTCATCAGGATTTGGAGGCAGTGTGCAGAGCTCCGTTTCACATGACATGGCACAGGCTGCAGACAGCATGCCAGACCAGCTGCACGGACTTCCTCAACTACCAGTGGTCAGGTTCTCCCTTTGCATGAAAGGGCAGATTATTTACTCTTTGGTTTGGTAATGAAGACTATGCCCAGAATTAAAAAGGGTTACAAGCTACAGGTAAAATTTTTAATTTGCAGTCCAGCTATTTCTAACTAGAGGAATCACTCCCTAACAATGTTTATAGGAAGTAAAGTGATTGTGTGTTATTCTCAGGCCAAGATCTCAGCTGGCTTAAAAAAATGCTGATACAAATCCCTGAAAATATTCCAAAAGAAATATAACATAATCCTAAAAAAAAAACATTTCCCATGCAAAGCTTCAACAGGAGGGAATACAGAGGTTGTAACCGAGCTTGTAATTGCCTTCACTGTAGACATGTATCAAGAGCAAAGTGGCTCCGGATTCAAAGTTATGTTTTAATAACCTGTTGACTCAGAAACAGCTTGACCTACTTTCTTCATAGTTTACAAAAAGAACACCCAGGCACGCACTCTTTTGGTACCATTTTGCAACAAATACCCTTGTACATACTTTGATAAGTGAACAGATAACTCCTCCAATCCTGCATAGCTGGTTGATCATTTAACTGTGAACAAATGCCCATCTACCACTTAAGCTGATCTGAATCTGGTGAAAGTCATTGCTGCCTTTCATAGCAACTCGTTTATGCTGTATTTTCTAGGGCACGAAAAAACCCTGTTTTCTTCAAACTTTACAAAAGCCTTCCCCTTGCCGTAACAGTCAGTAAGTTTTTTTTTTCCTAATCAAAATTGTAATGGGACTATAACTGGAGCTTATTGAGCAATACAGGCAAACTCGGCTATGAAGACACGTCACAGTTGGACTGACTTTTGAAGAATCAGGTTTATAAGTTATACCAGTAACTTTTTTTTTGAAACAAAAAAAGCTTAATGGGTAAATCTGCTAAGCAAGGATATCTACCTCATTTCCATAGAAAGTACTGACGGGATTTTGCATTTCCTGTAGGAAGCAGGGACGAATCAAAGTTTCCACAACAGCACTGTTCACAAAGTACACCCGTAGTTCCTTGTGCAATACACCAACATGACCTTTGTGGGGACAGGGATGTAGAACAGCAAAGGTGCACCTTAAACAAAATTTCCACTTAAACGCTGATTTATGAGAAATAAGCTGTATTTAATTAAGTTCTGAGTCAGACCTGGCGAAATCCAAAAGACCCAGAAGAAAGCACAGCAATGACCAGAAAAAAGGGACTTTCTAAAACAACAGCACCTTCCTACACAACACTTCCTGAACCCCATCCTTGGGCCCCAGACAAGTTTACTGAATGAGAAGGTATTTCACACAGCGCACAATTGACTACAGCTGAAACGCCTGCACTCAAGGGAAGGCAGAAAGCTCTTCTCCAGTTCACCCTCAACAGTCTGTACAGCCCCAAACAGGAAAGAAAGAAAAGATATGGTTGTGTCCTCCCTCCTCCAGGCAATGGCTAAATTTCATCCCTACTGCAGGCAAGAAAAGTGGAAGGGAGACCTCAGGACAAGAATGTCAGAACTTCGCACCATCTTCCACTAGGGGTGCACGTCAGAGCACATACTGCTTCTCTGCATCTAGCATGACATTTACCTGCTTTACCGTAAAGAGCACATCTCTAGTAACATTAACCTCCTCACTTTTCAACTTCTTGGGAAGATGGCAAAAAGATGCATCGACTGCCGGCAGCAACAGAAAAGAACTGCCACTGACCCACATGGTCAAGGAACAGGGCTAACCACCACGTGTTCCACATAACACCACCACGGACTGGCTGATACAGAGGAATTAGATCAAGAAATCCTTTGACATACAGCTATGCAAGTTTCAACTTTCCAAAGCAGAAGTGATGTTCTTTCTTATGGTTTATCCACCACTTGAAGCAGGGGGTTGGTGGGAAGAAAGAAAAAAGAAGTCTTCCAAGTTGTGTGCTATGACAAGGAGGAAAATGTAAAGTCTGCTGTTACTTGCAAACTGCCTCATTTTTTGATTGGCAACCACATTACCTAGTCAGAAGTAAAAACTTAAAGACAACATATGCTTTGAGCCTGATGGATATTCAAATTGATCAGCAGGTGAAGCTGTTGTAACTTCTCAGAGTTCATTAGAATGAAATTGCCAGAAATCACCCTAGCAAAACAGAAACAAATCTGTATCCTAAAGAGACTGCAGTTATTGTCGACAACCTTGCTCAAAGAAACCAGCTGATCATTTCAGTTTATATTCAGCAGATATAACTGCCTTAGAAAATCATAAATAGTTCAGACTTTACCAAACACATAAGAAACAATTTTTTGTCTCTTGTAACAGAATTGCATGTCTGTGAGCACTCCGGGAGCAGGTGAGAGCTACAGTCAAAGGAAATGCACAGCAAAGTAGATAAACTAAGAAACAAAGAGCATTGGCTATGCTGACTGCATAACCCGATTATCCAGACAGAAAGCGCATTGAAGGGTGGAGATGCTACCTCTCACTTACCCTGGTAAAGCTGAATGAACCTGGGATGTAAGGCAGACGTGATAATCCCATCCGGCAACTCTCTCAAAAATAATTTCAACAGACTGGCTGCTGAGTACACATCACCATCTTTAACAAGTTCCACCTCTTCTCCACGCTCGTATTGCAGACGCAACTGTTCTACCATTTTCATGCTGCCGTTCACCCTGAAGAGGCCTTCCTGCGTCATACCTGTAATTATATGTTGCATGTAAGATTGATCTGAACGAAGACATCCCAGTGATATGATGAAACAGACTTTCTAGTGTGAATAACACACTTGTAGCAATACAAAAGAAGGTAATTAATACAACACAGGTGGTTTTTTTTTTTTAAATACTGTTTTCCCTCCAGAAACTCCCTCTAGTCAAGTAATTGGATTACGATAATTAACAAATACTAGTGACCAGATCTTGAGGCCTGGGATAATCTTTGAGAACCCACAAAACTCAGTGGCATTGCTGTAACCTCACACCATGCAGAAATCAATCTGCCACATTTTCCATCAGTTTATTTCAACAGAAAAGCATCCAGATTCTACAAAACAGTTGTATGTTTCACTTTTGTTGTTCACTTTCGCAAGTAGCCTGTCACCTTGGGTGGGACTCTGCCAAATTCCCATATATGACTACTTCCAGCTACACGTTTTAGGGTAACAGCTTCTTACCTGAGACCGTCATGAAGCAAAAACATTTGAATACATGCCCTTTGCAACAGTAACTCCATAATGAGCACTGCAACCTTAGGCTAGCAGAAAATCTCAGTGAGCAAATGTGTATTTTGGACAGCACAAAGCCCCAAGTACTTCACAATGAAAAAGAAAAGGCATCAATCACTTCAGGCCAGACACCCCACACCCAGCGAAGGAGATGCAGAAAGAAGGTTTCCAGAGAGGAAGTGAGATGAATCATACTGTATCAAACATCACTTTGCAGGCATATGCTGAGATTCAAAACCTTCAGTAAAGTGTCTAAAACTGGACTCAGTAAATTAGTTTTTCTCTAGAACACTTTCACCACAAAAAAATCTGCATTTTCTAATACTATGCATATAGACCTGCTTATTCTTCTTCAGAAACTTAACACTGAAAGGATCAAAATATATGTGGTTTTCATCAGTTCAGAACAGACGTCATGAAACAGCAGTCTGACAGAACACTTCCAATTCAAGAAATCAATACCAATGCAGCAGTTTGTAGAAAGAAATAATCTCTTTTATTGGATCAGAAGATAAACTGATCAAGTAAGGGAAAAAAAAAAAAAGGACATGCACTCATTTTACTTGACTAATAAAAGATACTGCTTACAGATCTTGTATCCCTGTATTAACAAGTAAATGCATTCTTATGTGGCATGCTGTACTGCCATCTTGGGGGCAGCAGAAGACACCACATCTCAATAACGATTTTAATTCCTGCAGCATTAAGTGAGCAACGGACACAGTCCCCGTGCAGATAAAACTTCCTTTCCTCTTCCTCAGTCACTTACAGAAATAAAGAGAGGCTAGAACATACTGGTAACCGTAATCAGATACTACTAAATTCAGCGTAGGAAAACTTGGCTTCATCTATAAATTTGAAAAGAGGCAGCTTAATGCAAACTTTGTTCAAAGATGTAGCTGCCCACCAGTCAGCTCAGCTTTCTCAAATGGGCAGTCAGTTCCTGATGAGCTAGAAGAGAGACTCTGAAATGGTCTGGCTTTAAAAAAACCCTACAATGTCTATTACATCTTTGCAGGATAGGAACTGTAAGACAATACTGAACAAACAGTAACCATGATTCACAGAACACACCTCCAAAGGGTTTGGATTCATACCTGGGCCTCCGTTAAAAATGTCTTCACAGTTAACTTCACTACCGATTCACAAAACAAACCTAAGGCAAGCACAGGACATCCATTTCAAGAACTTCCCATGTAAGAGGGCATCTTTGAATTTTGCTTGCACTTTTGAGAAAGAGAACGGATTGTATCTTTATTGAGGCTGTATAATCACCTTGGCATTCAGAAGCCTGGCAAATCTTGCCGTAGAGTAGGGAACTCTGCTTTTTTAGTCCATATTTGGGACACAGTCATGTGGGATTCAGATCTTTTCATGGAACACAAGAGTACAGCCCACAACTTGCAGTCAAGAGTGTTTGTCAGCATCTGGTTTTGATTCAACCCTAAATGATGCAAAAAGTTCTTCCAACTTTGCTCTTTCAGTGTTTAGCAGACCACTTTAAGGCAAGTTGAAGCAGATCAAGCAAGATGCTGCTGTGCAAAGGTAGGATCATATTTTAAATTTGCACTGTACCTCAGTCCAAGCTAACTTTCAAGCCATGTTTGCATCTATCAGCTTCTGAGGGTCTATCAAGATCCAGACATGGAATCTAAAGCTCTGCAATTGGATTATCATTGTTCAGTAGCTAAAAGAAAAACCTTAGGGTAAAACCAGATGCCGCTTCTTACAAGATGAAATTACCTCCACCAAATCTTTTCCATTGAACAACTGCCACAGAATACATCTGTGCATCAGTGGTGCTCTAGATTTCTGCGAAGAGATGTATTTCAACAACAGGAACTAAAGTTCCATTAAACAAATACAAAGAGAAGCTAAAAATTGGACACCTACTTCCTTGAGGGGATTAATAATAATTGGAATCTATCTGAAAACCTGTAAGAACATGTATTCCTATTCAGTAATGTTCTCTGATGGAGTGTGTGTGTGCACGTGAGTATCTCCGTACAGATACTTATGTCTTCTCACTGTCGGAGAGCACTGTAGACAAATGTTTTGCAACTAGCAACTAGAAAAGGACACAAACCTTCGCAACTAAAATTCATTCCATTTATAAGCTGAACAGCTTGTTTATGAGAGTGTACTGCTTCATAACACTGTAGCTTACCTTTATAAACAACCTATTAAAAAGTAAGTTCAGCATCTAGGCAGAAAAAAAAAAAAGGAGTAAACCACACACAGTAATATTCTTTGCCTGTGGTTAGTGCCACAACCTTATTTAGCCCCTGTACCACAAACAAGACAGATCCCTCCCTTTGAAGAGTCTTACATAAAGAGTGCTACTAAACAAAAGTGACTCCATTAAGCTTACCATGCTGGCTGAGGTACTCGACTATATTCCACACAACTATTGGGATGCCGTTCTTGCTCAGTCCCTGCTGCTGGAGCTCCAGAAGACTCACACCAAACACCTTTGGACAGGTTGTGTCCCTCTGCTTGCTCAGTGGAAGTGCAGCTATCTTTTTCATGTCCTCCTTCAATCTCACAGCCGATTTGCTTTGCTTAAAGGAGCAGAGGGAAGAAAATGTGCATTAGTCACATTTGCTGCAGAAGGCTGCATAGTCACAACATAAGCACATTCATCGAAACCGGCTTCTATGCTCCACAATAAGGTTTTGGTCCTGCTTCCTTTTAATCCACAGGAAAATCTCTGTGAAGTAAGAA